CCTCTCCCACTCCTCCTGCTTGTGTTCCCTCTCTCACTGTCTCTCTGTCAAATAAATAAAGTCTTTAAAAAAATGTTTGAAATGGTTGCTAAACTAAAAATTGGGACATTTCATATAAAAAGGCAGGCTTCCCTTAAAAAGCAGCTGAATTCTGAGCCCTCACGTTGGTGTGGTCTTGGCTGGACCTCCTACTTGCTTTCTTGGCACCAGCAGGACCGTGCACGGGTTCGGGAGAGCTACCTTTCTCAGCTGTAGAATTGTTTTCTTTTCCTTTCTTAATGGTAAACTTGCCCCAACATCATTTTACTAAGTAAGGTCACAAACCATATGAAATGCTGCTTTTATCACCTACTGTCTGGAAGCCATTCGTTTACTGGCTGTGGATTGCTTGCCCACTGCCAATGTCTCTTCTACGAACAAAATAATTTGAGTGAAGAGTCATCTCATTACCACTGCAGCTGTAAATATCATTCGTTGTCTGAAAAAATATGTGGCATTAAAATATGTAAGATATTTGTCAGTTTTGTAAACTTCATTAAAATGCATGTGGATGTCCTTTTTCCTGTAGCAGTGTCACCTTCTGGAATTCTGTATGCACAAAATTTGAATTAATAGAAAAAGAAAGACCTAAGGGAATCGTGTCTGTAGAACACTTAAAGGTGTGCTTAAAATGATTAATGATAATGTTCAGAAAGGCCTTTTACTTAATTGGAAAAATTTTTATAACTTAATTTGAAATAAAGCTTCACTGGAAGTTGCGAAGAAATGTCCGGGGAGGTCCTGTGCACCTGTCCCCGACGCTCACACTTTATGGAACAATAGTGCAGTATCTACCCCAAGACACTGCTGTTGGTACAACCCATAGACTCATCCCGAGTTCACCACCAGATACGCACTTACCTGTTGTGTGTGTCTCCATGCAGTCTTACCACACCGCGCAGTGTGGCCTCGCATAAGCATTATCACAGCCGTGATACTGCACGGTGTGGTCACCACGGGCTCCGTCCTCTTACCCCTTGATCGCCACACCGTCCTCTCTCCCGTCCCTAGCCCCTGACAACAGCTAATCTGCTCTCTATTTCCGGAATTCTGTAATTTCTAGAACGTTACACACATGGAATCATGGAGTAAGTAACCTTTTCGAATTGGCTTGTTCACCCAGTATTACTCCCTGGAGATTCATCCAGGGAATGCTCATTCCTTTTTTATGCCTCAGTGGTTTTCTTTTTTTCTTTTCTTTTTTTTTTTTTTATTTATTTGAGAGAGAGAGAAACAGCATGAGAGGGGAGAGGGTCAGAGGGAGAAGCAGGCTCTCCGCCAAGCCGGGAGCCCTATGTGGGACTCGATCCCGGGACTCCGGGATCATGACCTGAGCCGAAGGCAGTCGCTTAACCAACTGAGCCACCCAGGTGCCCGCCTCAGTGGTTTTCTGTGGTGTGGGTGTGCCAATGTGTGTGTGATCATGCCCCCGATTGCACGACATTCGGGTTGTCTCCAGTTTGGCCTTTGATGAATAAAGCAGCTATGCACACTCATATGCAAGTCCCCATGTGACAATGTCTTCGTTTCTTGGGGATAAGACCTCCAGTTGGGGTTGCATGGTCCGAACATGTTTATTTTTGAAAAGAACTGCCAAGCTATTCTCCAGAGGGGATTCCAGAAAAGCCACTTATTTAAAATAATCCTGTGCTTATGTTTTCATCCCTTTAAAACATCTTTACTTGTTCCCGGCTTAAAAAATAATTTATGTCTAAGAGGCAGCATAAAAACGACTTTGACAATATCCTGTTATTTGTAACTTCTTTGCAGTTCTATCTTCATTTTTTTAAAAGATTTTTAAGAGATTTTATTTGTTTATTTGAGAGGGAGAGAGAGAGCATAGGGAAGGGCAGAGGGAGAAGCAGGCTCCCCGCTGAGCTCGATCCCAGGACCCCGGAATCACGACCTGAGCTGAAGGCAGACGCTCAACCGACTGAGCCACCCAGGTGCCCCTCTTTATTTTTTATTCCTCTATTTATAGTTTTTAGCTTTCATTCTCTCAGTTGTTTGTGTATTCATCCTCATCACCTGGAAAACCAGGTGCCTTAGAACAGAGCCCGAGGTGAAGATTCTTGTGTAAACGATTCCTCAGGTTTGGCTATTGCAGATAGAGCTGCTATGAACATGTGTGTGCATGTTGTTGGATGGGCATCTGCTCTCTTTTCTCTTGGGCAAGTACCCAAACGTGGAATTGCTGGGTCATATCTTAAGAGTATGATTAACTTTCTAAGAAGTATCAAATGGTTTTCCAGAGTAGCTGCATCATTTGGCGTTGTCCCTGGTGATGTGGGAGCATTCCAGTTGCTCTGCATCCTCGCCAGCGTTCCCCTCCCCCCTCCATTCCAACAGACGGGTGGAGGCGCCTCATTGTGCTTTTAACTAGCATTTCCCTAGTGGCTGGTGACGCGTGCATTTTTAAATGTACTTATTACTACCCGCATAACCTCTCTGGTGAACTGTCTCGGTTTCTGCTCATTTCTGAGTTATATTCTTGCTGTTGCGTTTTGAGGGTTCATTATCTATGTCTTTGCATATGTGATTTGCAAACATTTTCTTCAAGTTTTGTGCCTTGTCTTTTCATTCTCTTGACAGTATTTTCACAGAGCAAGTTTTTAATTTTGATGAAGTCCCAATTTATCAGATTCTTTTTTTTAGCTATGAAATTTACTTGATTAAGATTGTATTATTCTTTCAATGTGTTGCTAGATTCTGTCTGATAATGCTGTAAGCTTCATTATTACAATACTGATCTGTATTTGAATCTTAATTTTACTTTGTTTCTGGTGATCTACATTTATAATTCCTTTATCCTGGATGACTTCATTCCTTAAATATTTATCTCTACTGCAGATGCCTATCCTACTTAGTTAATGCTTACCTAACTTAAACCTATATTAATTCTTTAATTTAGCCTTTGGTCTTTGTTATGTAATCATTTTCATATTCTTTACTTTTTTCTGGACTTTTAGTCACTGGAGAAAATTGCAGTTAACAAATTGTGAAGAAAACCAGTTTTCTCTAAAAGTAACAAAAGCTATTAGTGAAAAACCACTGGTAGATTTCACTGCTAAGTCCGTGTGAGACAGGGGTCCCAGCCCAGGCTCAGAAAGGCGCCCATTTATTAGGAAAATGTGGAAAGTTCCAGTGAGGAAATAACCCAAAGCAACTTACTCAATGTCATTAAATTTAGTAAAAATTAATAGGACAAATTTAGTTTTGTGATCATTCAAAATATACTAAAAATCAAATTTAAAATGTTATTAATTATGCTTTATATCATTAATCTCCAGGGGAAATACCTGAAACATCCCCATTTATTAACTGTGCAAGAGGATGCTTGCGAGTATCAGTGGAGTAGCAAGGCTCCGATGGGACTTTTGCAGGGCAAAGGGCATCCCAGACTTTCAGAATTTTCCGTGTCTCCTGACCTGTTTAGAAATGGAATACCGACAGTGGGGCTGAGCCTGGGAGCAATTTTCTTACTAACACTGGAAAATTATTGAGAGGTTAATCCTGCTGCTAAAATACTATACAAAGTATAAATACTAAGCAAATACTACCAACGTAATTAAATAATCTTTAAAAAGTTAAACTAATGTCTATGTAGTAATATTCTAAATTCCCTCATCCCAAGAGGTTGTTAGGAATACATGAGAAGGGGCGCCTGGGTGGCTCAGTTGGTTAGGCGACTGCCTTCGGCTCAGGTCATGATCTCAGGGTCCTGGGATCGAGTCCCGCATCGGGTTCCCTGCTCAGTGCAGAGCCTGCTTCTCCCTCTCCTTCTGCCACTCCCTCTGCTTGTGCTCTTCTGTCTATCTCTCTGTCAAATAAATAAATAAAATCTTTAAAAAAAAAAAAAAAGGAATACATGAGAAGTGCTCCCCTAAGTGATGAAAGGGGTCTAGGTGTGGTTAGAGAAGTCATTTAAAGGATCTGGCGCCGTGTCACAATTAATTTCTTAGGATGTGCCAGGACCTGGCCTATGCCCTGGGGGAAACATAGATTAAAAGTGGCCAGTTACAGTGTAATGAAGTATTGATGGTCTAACATATCTGCTTCCTGAGAAGGTGCGTTAGTTGATCCTAAGGTCAGAGAAAGGATGTACTAGATGACTAGACACCAAAGTGCATGAGGACAGGGTCATATATGAATTCATTTAATCCTTATTAAACTCTCAAGGAAACTGAGGTGCAGAGAGGTTAAGAACTTTTCAAGGTCACAGAGCTAGTGAGGGGGAGCTAAGGTCTGAATGCACACTTCTAACTGCGTTAGTTCTAACTCCCCTTAGATGAAGAGTGTAAAGACATATAGTAAATACTCATTAGTTTTAACTGCCATTATTATAGCCTTGATCTTAAGAAGTGTTTCTTGAAATTCTTCCTCCCAAATACCTGTCCCTTGAATTTGCCTATTACCTTCTAAGTCATCAGGTTGCTCAGGCTTCTGTTATTTTTGACCAGGATCATTGCAGTGGCCTCTGCTTCCAATCTTACCCCTTCCCATCCTTCGTCCATGGGGCAGCCCATCATCGTGCTAAAATGCCAACTTGATTTCATCTGTCTGATTCATCAAGCACCAACAGACAACCATTCAATAATTATGGGATGAATGGATGAATGCATTAGCTATAAGACTTCATTGGCCATAGTCTCTTCTCCATTACGTAGTGCTTAGATGAACCCTACCCCATTAGACTCTCCATCTCATTTTTTCCAGCTTCTTTTGCTAACACTTCCTTCTTCCAAGCAATTAATTTTTTCAATAGTTCATTCAGTCCATCAAGTGATGTTGTGGATGTAAGGGTAAAATGAAGAGTAGGGTTCGTGGCATGGTTCGATGGGGTAAGGACACTTTATACCCTTCAGTTTCAAATTGCTTGCAATTTGTAAGTAAATGATTATAATTAATACTGGTGTTAATCTCATATACTTAGATCAAAGCCATATTTTTTTCTCTCTTAGTTTTCTTGCTCATCTAATGGCTGTAAAGTTTAACCACACCCGTCATGCCCACTGCTCTCCACATCATCCTCATCTGGCAGCCGTCATGTATTAAAGGTAAAGGTTTAGTGTTTGACTCTCGAATCCTTGCAACCTTACCAGTTCACTCACTGCTATGGACTGAATTGTGTCCCACCTCCTCCCAAATTCGTATGTTGCAGCCCTAACCCCCAGTGTGACTATATTTGGAGAGGGCCTTTAAGGAGGTAAGGAAGGTTAAACAAGGTCATAAGGGTGGGGCCCTAATCTGGTAGGACCTGTGTCCTTATAAGAAGAGGCAGAGACACAGAGCTTACTCTCTTCTGGAGAGGAAAGGCCATGTGAGGACACAGGGAGAAGGAGCCATCCCCAAGCAAGGAAGAGAGCCCTCCCCAGAAACCAACCTGCACCTTGATCTGGGACTTCTTGCCCCCAGAATGGTGAAAAAATAGATGTTAGTTGTTTAAGCAACCCCAGTCTGTAATACGAGGACAGCCTAAGCAGACCAAGACACTCGCTATGCTGGGAGGATCAGGAACCCAGCACTTCCCCCTTTCTCCTCCTACTTCTGAACCCGGGTCAGGGCTGTGTTTTACCTGGAGCCTGATCTTAATCACGGGTGAAGGAAGCCAGCAAGAGACAACAGTGATGCTTGTGTTTCTAGTGCCTGGAAGTCTTGGGATTTCCAAGATTGAGGAGGGAACGAATGTAAATTAATGGAGGAATGGGGAAGAAGAAAGAAAACAGTTGCTTAGTCTGGACACTGGATGGGCACAGAGTCCCCATCCACAGACATGGTGCTCTGATGTAGGTTTCCCCAGACTGGGGGCTCCAGCATCCCGTGGTTGGGAGAGGTCTCACGAGTAAAGCATCAATTTTCTCTCTAGATATTTCTTCGGATTAAGACATACATGGATTTACCTTTTGAACCAGTCTTAAGCCGAAGATAATATCAGGGATAACCTTTCCTTTATAGTATTTGCTTATAATTTTACACCTTAGAGGCAAAGGGAAAGTTTTCATACAAATAAGTTTCATTCAAGAATATAAAATCTAGGGGCACCTGGGTGGCTCAGTCAGTTAAGCGTCTGCCTTCGGCTCAGGTCATGCTCCCAGGGTTGTGGGATCGAGCCCCACACTGGGCTCCCTGCTCCGCGGGGAGCCTGCTTCTCCCTCTTCCACTCTCCCTGCTTGTACTCTCTCTCTCTCAATCAATAAATAAAATCTTAATAAAAAAAAAGAATATAAAATTTATCTGTTTTTACCCAGGGAAGGACTGAGAAGACAGGAAGTCTCTGGTGAAGATGGAGTTGATAGAGTAAACTGGAAATAGGAACAAAAAGTGAAGGCTGGTGGAGGGGAGTGTCAGGATGCAGACCCTCCCTGCTTCGACATGTCGCATCCTGTACTCTGAAGTTCATGGGAATGCAAACAAATAAAAATGGTATAATAAGTATTTTCTATCCTTCTTGGTCACATATGAACCTTAGCAAGGACTGTAGTAATGAGGTGGGAGAGAAAAAATTTCATTCATCCTGCACAGTCTCCCTGACTTGGTCAGTGGCATCCCCAGACCTGCACCCCGATTCAGCATTTCAGAGTGTCCTCACCACCACCCTCAGTCCCCTGTATCCAAACTCAACATTAGGCTGGTCTGTGAGCTCAGATTTAAAAGCCTTAAACTACCACCTGGACAGATGCAGACACGGGCTGGGTCCTGAAGACACGGTTGAAGGTAAAGGCAAGGCGGTGGGGCCTTGCCATGGAAGGCTGGATAAGGAGGACCTGCGGATACTGTACAAGTCCACTGGTAAAGAATTAATTATACCTCTTTCTCAAGACCCCTAGGCTCTTAGGGTGGTTTCTGGTTTTTTATACCCAAACCCCACCGGGGACTCGAGTTACTCATCGTGGGCTTGTCCTGGATGAGGCAGCAGATTGACTTAGTGATGTGGGAGCCAAGGAACTTTCCAGAGCCATTCCAGGCTGATTTTCCCACAGGGGTACTACCTGGGCTCTACTGAGGGAGCCACCCGGTGTGGCCCTCCCATTCCCAGGGAAGGGAGGTGACAGCTCTTGATCTCAGACTCACCAGGAAGCAAACTCAGCATTGCTTTTTCTCTTGACATCATTTCCGAATCAGCTTTCGCTTAGGTTTGAGCCCAAGTTGTGAGTAAAAAAGCCATCAGGCTGAGGAGCCTCGGCCGGCAGAGCCCGTGTCTAGGAAACTAGCCCCCCACGAGGCAGAGCAGGCTGCTGAGCGGCAGCCAGCACGGTGCGGTGGCAGTGTGACATTTGATTGTGCTTCGTGGCCCTCCAGATGTGGCCGCCCTGCCCTAGGCACGGCAGCAAGCAGGGCTGTGATCCTGGTTGAGCATCAGGGTCGCTGGGCCCCACACACCGCCCTGGGGGTGATAGGGACAAGGCAGCCCGAGGACTGCAGCTGAGGCAGGCAGGAAGTCACCTGCGGCTCGTCTGAAACCCAACAGTACCCACTAGGCAATTAGAGGCCCGCCTTCCAGAGGACCCCGAGGTCGGCGAGGGCCACCTCGGAGACTCCCATTCCGTTGTTTCTCCGTCCCTCTTTTACCCCAGAATTCAGCTGTGTAGCAATGTCAAGACACTGAGGGCCAGGCCTCTCTCCGTGTTCCTGGTGCTGAAAGACGAATATTGCTTGCTTACGTCTTGATTATTTTATTTCATGAAACTTTTATGAGCATGTATTAGTGCATGGCATCACGACGTAGGCAAAAGATACATGTAGTTCACCTGCGCCGAGAGACGTTAAAAGAGGTTGCTTTACATAGAACAACAAATCAGGAATTTCTCAACCTGTGAAAATTCTGAATGCGGAAAGTATATATGTATAGTATGAAAAATGTATTCACTCTGTGAGAAATTCAAACAACTCAAAATGTGGAGAATAAAAAAGGGAACTACCCCATAATGCCTCCCTCCAGCCACAGTTTACAGAGTATATCTTTAAAACCTATTTTGGGGGCACCTGGGTGGCTCAGTTGGTTAAGCGTCTGCTTTTGGCTCAGGTCATGATCCCAGGATCCTGGGATCAGGTTGCTCGGCAGGGAGCCTGCTTCTCCCTCTGCCCCTGCCTGTCACTCCGCCTACTTGTGCTCTCTCTCTCTGACAAATAAATCAACAAAATATTAAAAAAAAAAAAAAACTAATATACTTTGGAACAACAATTTGGGAGCTTTCTGAAAACAGAAAATGTTAAACATTCAGAGGACATGAAAGCATTGTCATTCCAGTTAAAGAAAATAATCTTAAAAACCTCCCCAGATTTTATTTTAATATTTCACTAGAAATGATTATTGGTTAGCTGATATGTGAGATGTGTATCAAGAGCAGCTCTTGAGAGGTCAGGTACGTTACCTGCAGTCCTGCTGGGATGGAGTGTGCTCTCCGAGCTGAGTCCGTGAGGCTATGTCTGAATCATTCTGCTCTGTGATTGCTCACTCAGGTCATGCCACCCGCTGCAACAGACCTTCTAAAACACAAGCCTGCACAGCACCCTCAAGCTTGAAATCGGAGAGCTGATTTCCCTTGACCAATAAAGCAAACACTGGACGTGATGGCATCTAGTTTCCTGAAGTCTGAGAGACGCTAGCAGCGCTGGACTCTAAGTGGCAACACATTGATCTGAAGGGGCAAGAGGTTCCCTTATCCACAGAGCCGGCTGAGAAGGATGTACAGATGTGCCGAGTGGGTTCGGGACTTCCCCCGCTGAGGATACCACCTAAATAATGACGAGCAGGACATTTAAGCAGAGGTCATATTTGGAATAGTTTTGTAAACCATCTTAAGGAATGCCTTTATTCCCTCCGTTCCATCTTTCTAGAATGCTTTTCCTCGGTTTGCCCGTCAAAATCTTATCCATTCTTTAAAGCTGAGCTTCGGTCTTGTCTTCAGCATGGAGTCGTTGGTAATAATATTTTTTCCTTGTTCTTTTTGTTTATACACTTGCAGCAGCACTGAGATTACAGTGAATTGTTAATTTACCCATTTCCACCCTTAAGAGCAAACTTTTTTTTTTAAAGATTTTTTTTTTTTTAATTTTATTTGAGAGAGAGAGAACACATGAGAGGAGATAGGGTCAGAGG